AGATGGCTTGAGCCCAGGAGTTCAAGACTAGCCACGGCAACATGAGAAAACCCTGTCTCTACAAAAAAAGAAAGAAAGAGAGGTGATTAGGATCCCAAATCTTGGAGTAGCTAACCCATGGGAGGTACAGAACATTGTTTGAGATTCTTGAATGGTTGGCCCTGGCCCCAAATGAAATATATATTCTTGCATTATTATAATCTCTGTATCAGACCCTTTCTCACTGCAAACATTGTATGATAATGTGAATCCTTAAAGGCAGAAGTTTAGCTGCTATCCAAGCCTGACATCCTAGATAGGCCTAGCCTGCACCCACTGATGAATATTTATCCTTAGCAAAAATCAAAATCTTGCTTACTCTGTGCCTCAAGGCATACAGCTGCTTTTGCAGCTACAGTGTCACAAGCGAGCCTGTCCTGGTCCCAGAAATACTTAGCCTTAGCAGACTGGAATTTCACTAGCACAGTGGCCGAGGTCATCTCATAATGCTTGCAAAACTGTTACTCTCTCCACGTGTCCACATGTGCCTTCGCCTACAAGAAGTAAAGCTGTTCTCACAGTTTGAGATCCACAAACCTCACTCCCAAATCCTAGTCCCTTGTGCGTATATTGGCCATGCTCTGACAATCCTGCTAAATGTTAACTTTGAGCCAGAAAAGGGAAATTGAGAACAGGATTTTGAGATCTTACCCTTAAAAACAGGGTTAGGCCACCAATGGGATTCCTCCTCTTCCTCCTCCTTCTCCTCTTCCTGTTCCTCCTGCACCACTTATTCCTCCTCCTCCTCCTTCTTTTTTCTTCTTTTCTATTTTAAAAGAGAAGCCTAAACAGCCTGATCTCTGATTTTTTTCCTTAATCCCTAGACCTAGACCTTGTTCTCATGTCCTGCAATAGTTGGGAAAAAAAAAAAAAAAGCCCACAAGAGAGGCTTCAAAGGAAAGAAAGCATTTCTTTCAAGCCAGTCATTATTTATTCCACCCATAAAACATTCTACCCCTTACCCTTTTTTCAGAGATTTCATAAAGTTAGACCTCCTTGTTCAGAGTCAAATTAGAGGTGCACCTTGATATATGACTTGAAGGCAATGGATACTGGAGAGCCAGCAATTTGGATGGATGAATTCACAGGGCTATAAAAGGAGATAGCACTTGGATTGAGATCTGAAGGATGGAGAAATCTGGTAGAGATGTGGAAAGGGAGTTCAAGAAAACAAAAGAAAATGCAGAAACTTATGGTTTCAAAAACGATGAACACAGCCAGAGAGTATGGGAGGGGAAACAGATTACACTTAGAAAAGTGTGTTGTAGAGACGTGGTTAAGGCGTTTGAAAGCTAACAAAAGAGATTTTCATTTATTTCATTTTATGTAGATGAACTTTCGCTCTTTCGCCCAGGCTAGAGGCTGGAGTGAAGTGAAGTGGCATGATCTCAGTTCACTGCACCCTCTGCCCCCATCACCCCCCCGGACCCGGGTTCAAGCGATTCTCCTGCCTCAGTCTCCCCAGCCTCCCTTGTAGGTGGGATTACAGGTGCCTGCCACCACGCCTGGCTAACTTTTGTATTTTTAGTAGAGACGGGGTTTTTGTCATGTGGGCCAGGCTAGTCTCGAACTCCTGACCTCAGGTGATTTGCCCACCTCAGCCTCCCAAAGTGCTAGGATTACAGGCATGAGCCACCGCCTGTAATTTATTGTTAAAAAGGAAAAAAAAAAAAAAAGGCCGAGTGTTGTCTCCTGTCTCCCTCTCAGATCCACCCTCCACCCATTGTCCACTGAACAAGACAGAGAAGGATAGCAGTTGGATCTAGGAGCTGGCTTTTACGAATTTCATTAATAGGCCCCTGTCTTCTGAATTTGCCTTATGTTTAACCAAAGTGGAGCACCTTGAGACAGGAAAAAGAGGGAGAACTGGATATTCATAACCCTGGATTCCTTCCTGCAACCTAATTCTAGCTGGCTGCTTGGAGCGACAGGTTTCTCAGCATACCCTTACACTGACAACTTCCAATAACCCTTTCTCCTCCTCTTCCTCCTGCTCCTCCTCCTTCTCCTCCTCCTCTGTTCTTCCTCCTCCTCCTCCTCCTCCTCCTTTCTTCTACTTCTCCCTTCTCCTCCTCCTCCTCCCTTCTTCTCCTCCTCCTCTTTTCTTCTTCCTCCTCCTCCTCCTTTCTTCTTCTTCCTCCTCTTCCTTTCTTCTTCCTCCTCCTCCTCCTCTTCCTTCTTCTCCTTCTCTTTCTTCTTCCCTCCAGCTTAAGGTGGTAGCAGGCCTGATATTATTAGCCCAGCACAATGCACATCACTTATGATTTCTCTTTATTCTGGCCACACCTTCGTAAATTGCCACTTCATAAAAATCTCAAATTTTCCAGTTTAAGTATGTCAGCTGGTTCCTGCTAGGGCCCTAACTGATATGAACAAGGCAAGTGTTCTAAGCAGAAGAAGACAAGAGCATGTCTGTGTTTAAGTGAAGAACACGGAGTGTGAGAATAGATTTTAAAAGATTGAGAAAGAGATTTTCAGTCTAGAGGGCATAAGCCTGTTCAAAAGACTTAGATGAGAGATGATGAGGACTTGAACCTGAGCAGCAGTGGTTGACTTAATACAGGAAGTGAGAAAAAAAATGAAAAAGTAAGCATCAAAGATGATCCCGGAGTATCATACTTAGATGACTGCACAGCTGATAATGCTGAGATCTGAAAACTGAAGAGGAAAGCTTATTTGGGCAGTAGGGAAGGAAATTATTTTATAATGTGTATTTTCTTATGCATAGAATGAGGAAGTTGGCATGAATCAGTTTTATCCAAACTTCTATCATTTATAGGCCACTCTCACAATTTAGACCATGACTACATATGATATTATGATATTTTTTTTTTAATTTTACCTTCTTTTTCTTTTCTTTTCTTTTTCTTTCCTTTTTTTTTTTTTTTTGAGACAGAGTCTTGTTCTGCTGCCCATGCTAAAGTGCAAGGGCACAATCATGGCACACCGCAGCCTCAACCTCCCAGGCTCGAACAATCTCCCACCTTAGCCTCCTTCATAGCTGGGACCACAGGCCTGTACCAACACTCCCAGCTATTTTTTTTTTATACAGACATGGTCTTGCTATATTGTCCAGATTGGTTTCAAACTCCAGGGCTCAAGCAATTCTCCCACCTTAGCCTCCTTCATAGCTGGGACCACAGGCATATACCAACACTCCCAGCTCTGTGTGTGTGTGTGTGTGTGTGTGTAGACATGGTCTTGCTATATTGTCCCGATTGGTTTCAAACTCCTGGGCTCGAGTTATTCTCCCGCCGGGGCCTCCCAAAGTACTGGGATCATCACATGCCTGTGCCACCATGCCGGGTCACACTGAGTTTTTATTTTTGTTTATTTTGAGACGTAGCCTCGCTCTGTCGCCCAGGCTGGAGTGCAGTGGCGCAATCTCGGCTCACTGCAAGCTCCGCCTCCCAGGTTCATGCCATTCTCCTGCCTCAGCCTCCCGAGTACCTGGGACTACAGGCTCCCACCACCGTGTCCGGCTAATTTTTGTATTTTTAGTAGAGATGGGGTTTCACCATGTTGGCCAAGATGGTCTTGGAACTCCTGACTTCAGGTGATCTGCCCGGCTCAGCCTCCCAAGGTGCTGGGATTACAGGCATGAGCCACCACACCCAGCCAGCCACATTTATTTTTAAATGGAAACATGGATCCACCTTTTTTTTTTCTCTCATTTTTTAAACTGACTTCTTTGCTCTTTCCTAAGCAAAAATATTCATGAAGTCATGGGTTTGATGTGCCATTTATAAATATTTCCATTATGACTGGGCGCTGTGGCTCATGCCTGTAATCCCTGCACTTTGGGAGGCCAAGGTGGGAAGACCACTTGAGGCCAGGAGTTCAAGACCAACCTGGATAACATGGTGAAACCCCATCTGTACTAAAAAAATACAAAAATGAGCCAGGCATGGTGGCGCGCACCTGTAGTCCCAGCCACTTGGGGGCCTGAGGCAGGAGAATTGCTTGAACCCAGGAGGTGAAGGTTGTAGTGAGCTAAGATTGGAGATTGGACATTGCACTCTAGCCTGGATGATAGAGCAAGATTCTGTCTAAATATGTATTTTTTTCATTATACTTTCAATATGAAATTTAACTATAGAATTATAATCTTTGTGTTGCCTGAAGTTAATATCTTTTATGAGCCATTCACTCCAACAACATAATGGGAAATAATAAATTATTTTACGGTTCTTTCCCAGCTCTGAAATTCTATGATTTAAACAGAATATTGAGCTTAGTTCTTTTGGGTCCTAAGTATTCCCTAGTTGCAGTGTAACTCGGCGTTAAATCTTTCAGCTATAAGGGTGTCTTTAATTTGACTGAGTAGTGCTCTACACTTATCTTTGCATTACAACTCCCTGAAAGAGTTAATGCTCATTTTAAAAATTAAAAAGATGCCTAATTTACAATTCACGATTAGATGAGACACTCGGCAACTTTATCTGTATGCTGGTCTTAACTACACAACAGGCTGATGGTTAAAACAACAAAGTCTGGGGCTCATGTGTTGTAATTCTATTTGCTGAAAAATCTCTGGAAAGTAGGGACACCATTGGCATGTCTTGCATCTTCCCTAACACATTGTGGGAATTTTATAAATGACATGTTGGGCAGGTGCAAAATCAGAAGCTGAGAGAGAAGATTGCTTGAGCCCAGGAGTTGGAGGCTGTAGTGAGCCATGATCACACCACTGCACTCCAGGCTGGGCAACAAAGCAAGACCCTATCTGAAAAACAAAACAAAACAAAACAAAACAAGCAGAGGGACTGTGCTCAGTCATTCCAATATTGCCCTCACTTGAGACTATTTAATTTGGATGTCTATGTGTGACAGATTCTGCCCCTAAGTTCCTGAAAAGCAGTGCCTGGCAGCTGACAACCTATTTACCAATTTTACTAATAAGGATGTCACTCTTGCATTATTTTTCTTAGAGAAATGAGTGCATAATGAACCCTTTTTTAAAAAGTAATAGTTGTATTTACTGATGGAACATGATTTAAAATTTCAAATGTATTTTAACTAATATCTCATATTTATTTAATGAATTCCTTCATCATTTAAGATATTATTCGACCATACAAAGTCAGTTTACATGCAATGTAGCAGGAACACTTATTGAATAACGCAAGCTTCATTGGTGTGTATACACGTGTTTGTGTGTTGTTATTGCTGAGTATCCCAGGTTGTTCTTAATCCATTTTCATTGGACACAAACTCCAAACAATCTATAGAACAATACAAACTGTATAAAATATATGAAGACTACTTTACTGTATTACGGCTCCATATTCTAATTATTTGGTCTGTCAGCTATTTCACCATTATCATTTCGTCAGTATAATATCTCTGTTTGGCAGAGGTTGTCCCTGGAGCAACGGTTGTAGCGTATTTCAGCATCCTCCCTCCGTTCACAGTAAATCTTACACAGCAAGAAGACAACCTTTCAGTTTCTGACATTTCTGGGTTGCACTGTTTCCTTGTACAAGCAATCAGTGTAGATGAATGTGCTGTAGCCAAATCAGAGATGGCTCTTAAAAGAGGTGACTTGGGTAAATGAAGAAAGACAGTAAAGAGAAGTGAGGTGCTTTATTAGTTTTAAGTTATATGGTTTTCCAATGGCATGCAGCAAATATATTCAGCACCTTTGACTAGTGTGAATCAATCATGTTACCGAAGGTTAGAAACTTGGGAGGGAGATCGGCATCTTAATTTTTGTTTAATAATTGCTTTCTTATCTTCCTGATAGACTCTTTTTTTACTTTCAAATCTTCTGTCACATCATTTCTCCTTAAATGCATCCTTAGGGACCCTCTTCCAACTTCCACAATCTGTTTCTTGTGTTTGGTTTTCAAGCTCACTAATGAATCAAAGTTCTTCAAAGACCACTTTATTTTCATCTTTTCAAAGAAAGAAACACATAAATCAGAAACTCTTAGCAATTCATTCTTTTTTTTTTTTTTTGGCAAACATCTGCCCTTATTATTTGCTAGTCACTGTGTTAGGGGCTAGGAATATAAGAATAAATAGTAGTTTATACTCTAATGGCGGAGGTATATATAAAAGCAAATAATCTCAGCACTGCAGTAAGCATATATCAAACATATACAGGCACTTCATAGAAAGCACTGGGAGAGGAGAGACAGTCTTTGGTTTGAAGGTAATGGTACTATGGAAGGTTGAGAAAGGGTTGCTGCAGAGGTGCTGTATCACTCCAACCTGGACTCATGGATTGAAATCCACCAAGTGTCAAAGACGACCATCCCCAAAAATAGAGCAGCCTGTGTACATGTGTATGGCACAGACTGTGATAGGGAATTGTTTCTGAAACACCAGGGGTTTGGTCTAGGCCCTGCTGCTCCCTGCACAGAAAGCCAATCACTGAGACAAGTATTGCCAGGGAAGAAGGTTTTAATGGGGTACTGTAGCCAAGGAGTTGGGAGATCAGCCTCAAATACATCTCCCTGACTAATTAAAATCAGGGATTAGCAGAGAAGAAATATAACCATCTGTGGGAAAACAGGAACTAGAGAGGGATAAGGAAGAGGAGCTGGTCAACAGGGAGCAGGTGGTCAGTTGGAAAATCGTAATGGGTGAGGGGTCTGACATCTCACTGTCCAGATCCAGTCGTCTGATGAGTTTCAGGTCCTCAATACTATCTGGGAGGTCTGATGGTTGGTTTCCTGAGAAAGGAACTCAAATAAGACAAATATCAATTTCTATGTTTAGTCAAAGAAACCATAAACATCAGCTCTATGAAACACTTGAGTCAGCTTCAGAATTGCATGGTTAGTGTGAACAGAACACAGGTCATGGATGAAAAAATAGTGGGCAATTGACTAGGAGTTTAATAGAGAAAGATCACTTTTAAGAAACCAAACAAAATCCTAATTGTATCTTTGTATGCCTATAATTTGTTTTTAAATAGGATATTTAAAAATAACTACAAGAAAATGCAGTTTTATTGCCTTTTTCAATGTTTCCATTGTCCTGAAAGCTGAAATTGTTCGTAGATTCAGAACAGTTTAAATGTATTAATAAACCCAAAGTGAGATATATGTGAAGGAATTTGTGGATATTCAGGAGTCATAATGAAATAAGATCATTTTTCTAGACAGATTCTTACATAAGGCTATTAAGTTTAAATCATCTAAAAATATTTAGGAAAAAGGAAGCTGCTAGGTGATTGCTAAGGGAAATCATGAAAGCTGATAATTAACTTCAACATTGAATTAGTTTTCAATTAAACAGATTATGTGTCTAAAATAATCCAATAAGAAAATTATAGTGAGTTTTCATATAGAGTAATTTGCAAGGAAAAAATATTTCCTTCTGGTCAGAGAAGGTTAGACAGTACCTGGACCTTTCCAACCGTGGAAACTTGGAGATATCACATTCATAAGGGGAAAGGAAGATAAAATAATATTTTTCGAAGAGATAGCTAGCAAAACCATGTTGAATGAAAAAAAGAAGTCAACCAGGTAAGTCAATATTTACTCATGTCTGTGTCAATAGAACAGAGCCACTCAAATGATGTGTGTTGAAGGAACAGCTCTGTTTTTGTTTTTGTTTCCAATCCATTATATACCAATGTTTTGTAAAATATAATAAAAAAGAATTCTTAGAAAAAAGAAATAAAGAGGGGGTCTCCTCTTTTGGCTTTGGAGCAGCCCCCCTCCCTCTGTCTCTGTCTTCTTCCTTCTGCCTTCTTCCTTCTTTCTTGCCTGTTAAACTCTCCAGTCCTTAAAACCACACACAAAAAAAGAAACAGGAAATAAAAAGACAAAAAATACTAGTCCAACTTTCTTATTCTTATCATCAACAGACATAAAATTACTCTGTCAAATTGCTATGAATGTTTCTAAACATATATTCTCCGTTCTTATACTTATCTGATCCTGGAACCATATCCAGATAAGACCAAAACCATACATAAACCACACTCTGAGTAGCTCTGTGGTAGGGGATAAGGCATATAGTTGGAGCTCAAATAATGTTTCCTAAGCAAGCTGGGAAAATAAAGACTTTGGCTCCGCCCATGGGAAGTTAATCTTCAAGAGACATGAATGTAAATAAATTGATGCCACTAAGTCCATTTTTCTGGACAGATTCTTACATAGGTTGTCAACTTTTAATTGTCTGAAAAATATTTAAGAAGCAAGTTGTTAGGTGGTTGCTAAGGGCAATCACAAAGACAGCGGTATTGCAATTCATTTTCAACCCAAGAGATTATATGTCTAAGAGAATATAATAAGGAAAGTAGAGTGAGTTTGCATATAGAGCAATCTAGTTGGAAAAATATTTTATTGCAAGGAGAGAAAGTACTACTCGTCATCATGGTAAAATGCACAATGCACAGTGGCATGCAGAGAAGTGGTCAGTCTGACTCCAGAGTTGGCAAAGGTTCTGGCCAATGAGAAAGGCATTCAAAAGCAAATGCAAGAGTTAAGAAAAATGTTGAAGTGGGAAAAGTCCCCTTATCCCTCTTGCAGAGCGTACAGTGGGTGTGTGGGGCTCGCTCCGTCGGTGCCCCGCTGCTCAAACCTCTAGGGGGAGCATGCAGACAGGCAAGTTGTGGGGATCCGACCCCACAGCAGTGTCTGGGGTTGAGTTTTTACAGCGCCCCAGTGGGCATGTGTTACAGTATGCTCTTTCAGTTTAGCTCTCTGTAGGCGGCTTGTATTATCCAGCTCAATTAGACCCTCTGCCTTATGGCAAAGACAGAGGGCTTTCTGTTTCCTGGATTCTTGCTTTGGTGTACTGGAAAAAATCGGGTCACACTTGGGCTTGGAGGATGGGTGCAAGGGTTTTTATTGAGTGGTGGTAGCTCTCAGATGATGGAACCAGAAGGGAATGGATTGGGAAGGTGGTTTTCCCCTGGAGTAAGGCTGCCCAGTGGCCGGGCTCCCCTCCAACCACCCCGGCCAAACTTCGCCTCGTTCTGCTGGTCGGCCTGCCAGCGTCTACCAGCTTCTGCTGACTGACGTCTGTTTGGGTATTCTTTCACCAGTGTGTTCCTCTCGACATCCAGCTGCTTGTATGTCTGCCCGCTAGGGTCTCGGGGTTTTTATAGGCACAGGATGGGGGCTTGGCAGGCCAGGATGGTCTGGGAAATGCAACATTTGGGCAAGAACACAGAAATGCCTGTCCTCACCTAGGTCCGTTGGCACAGTCCTGGGGGTGGAGCCCTCGCCAGGGACCTGCCTTTCTCTACCCAGCTCTTCCCTGTCCCCCTGCCATATCAATGTGACACATCCAAAAAGTGGTGAGTAGTACTGCAGGGCTAGGATGTAGCTTGAGAAGAGATGATAAAAGAGGGGAATCAGCAAAACAGGGAACGTGAAAATCATGAGGCGTGCAGATCTCATCTTTTATTTAGGCAAATGTCCTACAAGGTGTGTGGGCAGGGTGGAGGTGGGGAGCTCAGGTTGGGGACACATCTTGTGATCTTTCCAAATTGTGAAACTATCACCCCTACCCTAAGATTCCAATGCACAACTGACACATAAATAGAACTTGGGAAATCCAACTACATGGGTTTAAAAGAATTTAAAATGTTGGTTAATCTCATCACCCAGAGTTACATACTGTTAACATTTTGATGTATCTTCTTTTGAACTTTTATCAATGTATAAATATGTACATGCACTCTTTCCTCTTAAAATTGAAATTGCTGTGAAATTTATTTCTCCTTATTTCGCTATACTGACCATTCTCAAACATTTTGGTCTAAACATGCCATCACACCTTTAAAACTTATTGAAGACCCCAAAGAGTTTTCTTAAGGTGGTTTATACCTATCAAGACTTACCATATATGACATTAAACTAAGAAATATATACAATTATATTTATTAATAGCTTTTTAAGTGACAAGATATCCATTATAACCTATTATGAAAACATATTTGTATATTTAAAGTATATGGTGTATATATACATATATATGAAATGTAACATTCATATATATATGAAATGTAACATTCATGTATATATATGAGAGAAATATAACATTCTATTTAAAAGTGACCTTTAGCAACTGTGGGGCTTTGGGATATCACATTTGTTGAAGAAAGAGAGAGAAAAAAATATTTCCACAACAGGTAACTAGCAAAAATTTATCAAAGGAAAAGTATATGTTAGCCAAATAAATAAGTATTTATTCATATTTGAACCCGCAGTGCTTAGTAGAACAAAGCTACTTGTATTAGTCCATTTGCATTGCTATAAAGAAATACCTGAGGGTGGGTAATTTATAAAGAAAAGAGGTTTATTTGGTTGACGGTTCCGCAAGCTGTACAAACAGCATGATGCCAGCATCTGCTTATGGTGAGGCCTCAGGAAACTTACAATCATGGCAGAAGGCAAAGGGGAAACTGGTGCATCACATGACAAGGGTGATCGAGAGAGAGGGAGGAGGTGCCATGCTCTTGTGAACAGCTAGATCTCTCATGAATTCATAGAGTGAGAACTCATTACTGCAAGGGTAGCACTAAGCCCTTCACGGGGGATCTGCCCCCATGGCCCAAATCTCCCAGTAGGCCCAGTGTCCAACACTGGAGCTCACATTTCAACGTGAGATTTGAAGGGGACAAGACATCCAAATCATATCACTACTCCAACTAAAACAAACCTTTTGTGAGAGCTAGTGTGGGATTCTTATATCCACTTCTGCATTAAAGCCATTATCTTGATTTGTTGAAATATATGGACCACATTCAACCTCACACAGATACGTATTTTTAAAAAGGAGGTGATATGGTTTGGATCTGTGTCCCCACCAAACTTCAGCTCAAATTGTAATCCCCATTGTTGGAGGTGGGGCCTGGTGGGAGGTGATGAATCATGGGGGCAGAGTTTTCATTAATGGGTTAGCACCATCCCCCCAGTGCTGTTCTACTGATAGTGAGTGAGTTGTTGTGAGATCTGGTTGTTTAAAACTGTGTGGCACCTGCCCCCACTCTCTCTTGCTCCTGCCCCAGCCATGTGAGACATGCTTGCTTCCACCTGACTGTATATTTCCTTAGTCATCCCCAGAAACAGAAGCCACTATGCTTCCTGTACAGCCTGCAGAACTGTGAGCCAATTAAACCTCATCTCTTTATAAATTACCCAGTCTCAGGTATTTCATCATAGCAATGCAAGAATGGAAAAATACAGAAGGTGTATTTTACTAGCTTTTGAGATAATTATTGATACTTTTCTATTACACCAAAACTTTACATGGGGTAGTTTCTTCAAATGCAGTTGTAATGCAGAATCTGAAACTACATCCATAGAATTTTTGAACTGTTACATTAAAAATTCACTGGTCTGTTTTTCACTTTGAATGGATCACTTACCTATGTGTGATTTTGTAGTATCATGCATGTTACATTTAGAAAATATTGGTTTACTGATTTATGCAGTATGTCAGTCGTTGACTCATTTCATTCTGCAATATAGCAAACAAACAAACAAAACCTCATCAATCAATTATTTAAGAAAGAAGGAAGAAAGAAGGAGAAATAGAAAAACTTGAAGCTGAGGCTGGATAATTTATAAAGAAAAGGGGTTTAATTGGCTCACAATTCTGCAAGCTGTATAAGAAGCTTGGTGCCAGCATCTACTCAGCTCTTGGGGAGGAATCAGGGAGCTTTTTTACTAATGGCAAAAGGCGAAGCAGTAGCAAGCACATCATGTGGCAAGAGCAAGAGCAAAAGAGACTGGAAGGAGGTCCCACACACTTTTACACAACCAAATCGCATGAACTCAGAGCAAGAACTCACTCATCACCAAGGGGATGTGGCGCTAAGCCTTTCCTGAGGGATCTGCCCCCATGATCCAGTCAGGTCCCACCAGGCTCTACCTCCAACATTAGGGATCGCATTTCCTCATGAGATTTGAAGGGGACAAATATCCAAACCATATCATAGCCCTATACCACTAAATATTCTTTAAAGTATGACTTGAAAAGGTTGATGTGTCAAGTACATGGATCATCATTTAACCATTCTCCTATTAGACATTGAGCTTGCATCTAATTTTTCATTATTATTGATAATTTGTGATGAACCTTTTTCTATATGCATTTTTGTCTTTCTCTGTAATTATTACCTAAAGACTGACTCCAATAATTTTACTAGGTCAAGACATATTTTTTAAATGTGCTGTTAGGGCAGGCATTGTGTCTAAGGCCTGTAATCCCTGCACTTTGTGAGGCCGAGGCAGGAGGATTGCTTGAGTCCGGGAGCTCAAGGCAACACGGCAAAAGCTCATCTCGGCAGAACAAACAAACAAAAAATTAGCTGGTCATGGTGGTACATGGCTGTAGTGCTAGCTGCCCAAGAGGCTGAGGAGGGAGGATTGCCTGAGTCCAGGAGGTCAAACTGTGATCCCACGACTGCACTCCAACCTGGGCAGCAGAGCAAGACACTGTCCAAAAATATATACATATATATAAAATATATATACACTATCAAATATATTTCCAAAGGAACTTTCCTGCTAGGCATCTGGTTTCTATTAGGTGGTTGTGAATTTGCTAACACTGCACTTGAGAAGTGGAGTGAAGACGGAGCTCCCATTGGCAGCCTGGGTTTTCTTTAAGGTTAAATTACAGAAACCTGGGTCAGCTTTATTCCTACTAATTGCCTCCATATTCCTGGGCATGTTCCCATTAAAATGCTCTGCCACAGCAAGACTGCTTAAACAGTGACGGTTTTGTGGTCAGCATATTTATTTCCTGCCCGAAAAGAGTGGAAGAAAAATAAAGCAGCTGCTGTATCATGTGAATGAGTTTAGCAAAATTTGGTGTTCCAATTGTTTGGTTTTGTGACCCTGGGTGATGAATCTTTTCCTCTGCCTTTTGTGGCATTTCTGGTTGTGTTTGCAAACCCAGTTCTTTCTGAACTTTTTCACCCAAACATTTGGTTCCGTTTGTTCCTGAAATGAACAAGGAGTTGGAATGAAAATGTGAGCTCATAGACATTTCCCCTTAATGTATCGTTGCTTTTTCAAATTGGCTTCTTTTCTTTCTTTTCCTCCAGATTGTTTATTAAAAAAAAAAAAAAAATCATCATTTGACAGGAATAGAGACCATTAGATAGTTTGCTATTTACATTCTAATTTCTCTCTCTCTCTCTCTCTCTCTGTCTCTCTGTCTCTCTCTCTCAGCAGTAGTCAGATAACATCGTATTTTATGGGAGTGTACACTCAATGAGAATAGGTTGACTTCATAGACTCAACTTATTTCTTCTATTACCTTATGACTTTGTGCACAAAGTCATTTTTCTACCTGTAGACTTCTATAACAGATCTAATGTGTTACACTGCAATGATGCACTATAAATTATAAGCTTGGTGTTGACTTTTTTATGATAAACATGAATATATGAAAATGCCCCCAAAATCAAATTCTCTAAGGCATTGTTGTGCTTCAAGATCTCCATAAAATCTCCCCTCCCTCCTTGCCAACACTTTCTGGGTAGCTTTTACTGAAGCACATCTTGGCATCCTTTCAGCTTGATGTTTGAAAAGTATTCGTTGAAACAACCTAGTGTAACCCTTTGCTGATTTTCCTAAAATAACGTGGTTAGGGACGTGTTACTTTGTAACATTAGATTGCAGTAACAGGATCCACACAATAAATGCTTTATCTCTTGAGTTAGAGGAAAAGTGCTTCTAAGTATCTGGTTTGTTTCTTTTTGAAATTATAGCCTGCGTAATTGATTGTCCTGCTTAAATTTGATTTCTAGAATCTTAAAGTTTAAGTTGCGTCCTGCCTCTAATAAATATACATACTCCGATGATAGCCATTTCATGAACTGTCCATCTTGTTACCTTTGCCTCAATTCTATTTTCCTGTTCTCAGATTCCCTTTCTCCAACTTCCTACCTACTTCTTATCTGTTTTCTGTTGTTTTACTGTGCTATTGTTTTTGTAAAATGCTATAAATCAGTCTTTATTACAAAAAGGACAAAATAGTGCCTAAAATTAAAATTTATGATTACTTTCCTTGAAAAAACCAGTCTATTCAAACAGGCTAAAAAATGGACTGTAAATGATCAGAGAGCAGGTGTAAAATAACACTTTAAGGTTTTGAGAAAAGAAAGATGATACATTGAATCATTTGAGACCGAGCGTTACATTGGAAACACAGGGCACCAATCTCTCATGATTACTGCAAGTGAAAAATGAACAAGTAAACAAACCACAAAACCTATTTCCTTAGGTTATAAAGCCAGGGAAGAAAAAAAAAATTAAAGAACATTGCTCATTGATTTTTAGGATGAGACAAAGTTAAAAAAAAAAAAAAAAAAAAAAAAAAAGAAGAAGAAAACAGTACCCTGGTTAAGAAACAAACATTTCTAAAAAGATCTCTTCTTGGCAGTGGGAAATATATTTAATGAACATTAAAAATAGGTATAATTAAAAACAAACCCAGGAATATTTTATTTTGATTGGAATGCTGTATTGTATTTTCCTTTTATCTGGAAGATTAGATCATTGGGAAAGGCTTCAAATTCCTTAAATCTTAAGACTGGAAACATTTGGGGAAAACTAATTGAAGACTTTAAAATGAGAGAGGTGGAAGTAGGAAGAGGAGAATTAAGATTTACTTCCCTGGGACAACTCAGATTCACCATTAATTACACTAAATGAAATAAAATGTAATAGGCATGACTCCAGAATAAATGAATTCTATTTCCACTAGTGAAATTATTGTCTTATATAATTTAGATCCAGCCTTTAAAAAAAAGTCACACGCATTTTTATGGTTAGGAAACATCTCTCCCTAGTAGTAACAAATCAAACTCTTCACAGCCTGAAAATTCACTTGAAGACCTTGATGTTTATGCATAGATTGTTTAAAAGAAATACATAGGAGGAACACAGGTCTTTATTTTTCAAATATTGTAAAATAACAAATTAGTACTCAGGTGAGTTTTCTTTCCAGCCATATAACTTTTTCATTTTCTCCATAGTAGAAATAAATAGAAAGGCCATGCCTAATCTACTGTACTCTGCTCATCTTCAGGGAAGCCTCCAAGCTACTCTGGGCTGCCACTTAAGCAGGTGAAAAAGGAATGGAAAAAGAAAAACAAAACAAAACAAAACAAAAACAGAGGGCAGAGGGTACTCCTGACCCACTTACTGTCTTGGGCTAAGCAGAACAGGGAGCTACATACAAACATGGCTCTATTGAACAATAGTAAAAAATGAATTGTCTTTCCTCCGTGGAGGTTCAGGAAATATATCATTGAGGGTGGAAATAAGCAGAGAGAAGTTAGTGGGCTTCATTTCATCACTAAACCTTTAGACCATAGATAATTATCATCATTCTTTCTACAAACACTCAGTTGATTCCTACTGTCTTCCAGGCCTTCACAAGGTGCTGTGACAGACAGATGAAGAAACCAGACATGTTCCTTATCCCTCAGAGGACTTAGAGTCTAGTTGGGGGAGAATCTCAGTTGCTTCATCTGTAATAGAAGACAGAGATAAGATGATTGCAAAGGTTCTTGCCAGGCTCTAAATTAATAAATCTATTTTATTTAAATTAAAAGTAATGCTAGGCATGGTGGCTCACACCTGTAATCCCAGCACCTTCAGAGGCCGAGGTGGGATGATTGCTTGAAACTAGAAGTTCAAGACTAGCCTGGGCAACATAGTGAGATGTCATCTCTACAAAAAATTAAAAAATTAGCTGGGTGTGATAGCACATTCCTGTAGTCCCAGCTAGTCAGGAAGCTGAGGCAGGAGGATCTCTTGAGCCCAGGAGTTGAAGGCTGCTGTGGGCTAGGATCATGCCACTGTATTATGGCCTAAGTGACAGAGCAAGACCATGTCTCTAAAAAAAAAAAAAGGTGGAAAAAGTTCAAAGTAGTACCATGATTATTAATTTTGACACCTCCTTATTATTATTCTTTATACCAATGTCCTTTCATTTCACAAATTTGGGGGTCAGGAGAAAGAAGTAGGAAGTTTAAAAGAAGATGTAAATGACAAAAGGAGGAAAGCATAAGGAAAGAAGTTGAAGAGAATGGCACTCAACTATCGGTAGGCACCTACTTGTGATAAGCACTTTATAAACATGGCATTTCATCTAAGGACAGAAACCAGCAGTTGCCATCCTCTGAAAAGCTCTAGAGGTAGGAGCCGTATACTAATCAACTTTGTAAGTCTAGGACCCAGTGCAACGTTTGGTACATAGTATGTGTCCTAGACATGTTGGGTGAATGTTGATAAGTAAATAAGAAAAATGATAAGTAACATTAAGAAATTCTCTTTCCACCATCTGAAGGAGTGAGTTACCACATTGGAGAGCATCAATTCCTTTCAGGCACTTAACTCATGACAATTGTGTCTCGGATTTCAGGGTATTGTCTGACATCTTACAAACAATGTCTAGAAATCATTTCCCTCATGGAAGCATGAGGACCGACGCCTCCTCACAAGAAATACAGGGAAAATACCTTTTGATAGATAAATTATTTTGTTTATCCATTAACATCGTTTGACACCTGCATTGTAATTATCCTAATTTCAGTCAGTATGATTCTTCATACTTTCACGTGGACAGGTTTCGACACTGAAGTTTTATAGCACGATCCACCAAGATATGACGGAAATAATCATCCATGACCCTCACAAATGGTATTCCCTTTCACTTAAAAAATCTGTGCTAACATTTTGAGCTCATGTCAGGCACAGTGGCTCACACCCTAATCCCAGTGCATTAGGAGACCAAGACGAGAGCATTGCTTGAAGTCAGGAATTTTGAGTTCAAGACCAGACTGGACAATATAGCAAGACCCCATCTCTACAAAAAAATTAAAAAATTAGCCAGGTGTGTTGGCATGCACCTATAGTCCCAGCAACTCAGGAGGCTGAGGCTGGAGGATCACTTGGGCCCAGGAGTTCAAGGCTGCAATGAGCTATGATCACACCACTGTATACAAGCCTGGGCAACAGAGTGAGACTCTGTCTCTAAAAATAAAAAATAAAAAAAGTTAAAGTTTTGAGCTCATTTTTCTTTGAATATTTTCTAAACCTAATTTTAAATATGAACATATTGTCACAGTGTTACTCCCATGAGATGGTAGTGGAAACTTGGTGTTTGGTGAATTTCACTAAGCAGCAGGAGCAGTTTTACAGACACACCAAGTGACTTACTCGTAAATTAGGGGGAAAATCAAAAACAAAAACAAACACATGTCTGTAGTTAACATAAAGAAATTAAATCACTCATTTATCACCAAAAATGGCAATCAATTTAGTAAATAAAGTGAAAATACTCAGTAAAACAAATTATAAAAGTGTATGTTAAAAATTAACAAACTTGCAACGTGTGTAAAAGGATGTTCATTTTGAAGAACAGGCCTCTCAGCAGGAACATTGTGCTGTCACTCTGTCCTAGACACGTCAGCATTTGGAGTGACAGCTAGTCTCACTGTCACCTTTGTTTCCTTTCAACCCAGATAAAGGTTTATTCACTTAGCTAGTCTAAAGATGTTCACTTTAAGTGGCAATCAGATTCTACCCTGAAACTGTCCAAACATTGCCATAATAATTTTCCTATACACTAGCTTTAAAATTGTTTATATTAAGGAAGTTTTATAGCCCCACTTAGCTAGGGATAAATGTGGTTATCAAAAATAAACTTTTGCCAGAGGAACTGGGAAAAAAAGGAAGTAAAAGGCATTCAAATTGGAAAAGAAGACGTAAAATTCAGTATTCACAAATGGCATGATTCTACATATAAGAAATCCCAAAGAATCCACAAGACAACTACTAGAGCAAATAAACAAATTCAGAGAAGTTACAAGGTATAAAAACAACACTCAAAAATCAGTTGTATTGCTACATACTAGCAATGAACAATCAGAAAAGGAAATCTTGAAGGCAGTTCTATTGATAATAGCATCTAAAAGAATAAAATACCTGGGAATAAATTTAACCAGTGAGGTGAAAGATTTATACACTTAAAATCACAAAGCATTATTGAAAGAAATTAAATAAGACCTAACTAAATGGAAAGACACACTAAGTTCATAGAAAGGGAGACAATATTGTCAAGATGTTAATACTAACTAAAGCAACTGATATGGTTTGGCTCCGTGTCCCCACCCAAATCTCATCTTGAATTCTAGTTTCCATAATCCCCACAAGTCGTGAGAGGGACCTAGTGGGAGGTAATTTAATCATGGGGTGCTTACCCTCATGCTGCTGTTCTCATGATAGTGAGTAAGTTGTCACAAAGTCTGATGGCTTTATCAGAGGCTTTTCCCCCTTTTGCTCTGCACTTCATGCTGCCACTGTGTGAAGAAGGGCATGTTTGCTTCCCCTTCTGCCATGATTGTAAGTTACCTGAGGCCTCCCCAGCCCTGTGGAACTGTGAGTCAATTAAACCTCTTTCCTTTATAAATTACCCAGGCTCAGGTATTTCTTCACAGCAGCATGAGAACAGACTAATACAGCAACCTACATATTCAAGGCAATCTCTATAGAAAATTCCAACAGCCATTTTTGCAAAACTGAAAAACCTCTTCTCAAATTTATAAATTGCAAGGGTACCAGATAGCCAAAACAATGTTGGAGAACTCAAACTTCCTAATTTCAAAATTTACTACAAAAATACAGTAAACAAAATTGTGTGGTATTGGCATGAGGCATGAGAACATACATATAGATCAACTGAATTGAACTGAATTGAATTGAATTGAATTGAATTGTAAATTCAAATATAAACCCATACATCTATCATGATCAATGTTTGACAAAGATGCCAAGTCCATCCAATGGGGAACAAATAGTCTCTTCAATAGATGACATTAGGACAACTGGATTTTGACATGCAAAAGAATGCAGATGGAACCCCTACTTCACACCACATACAGAAATTAGCTCAAAATGGATCAAAGAGCTACATGTAAGAGCTAAAGCCATAACGCATTTAAAAGAAAACATAGTGGTAAATCTTCATGATCTTGGATTTGGAAATTGATTCTTTCTTAAATATGACACCAAAAGCACAAGCAACAACAAAAAATAAATAAGTAAATTGGACTTTATCAAAATCAAAACCTTTTGTGCAACAAAAGACATTATCAAGAAAGTGAAAAGACAATCTGCAAAATGGTAGAAAATATTCAAAATTATGTAACTGATAAAAGTTTAATATCTAGAATATATAAAAATCCATACAACTTAAGAACAAAAAGACAACCCAATTTCAAAATGGGCAAAGGACTAGAATAGTCATTTTTTCAAAGAAGATTACATATAGTCAATAAGCACATAAAAAGATGTTCAACATCACTAGTCATTAGGGAAATGAAAATCAGTACCGCAATTAGATACCATTCACTTCCACTGAGATAGCAATAATAATAATAATTTAAAAACTAAAAATAATAAGTGTTAATGAGGATGAGGAGAAATAGAAACCCTCACATTGTTGGTGGGAATGTAAAATGGTGCAGCACTATCAACAGTTGGTAGTTCCTTGAAAGTTAAAAAAGAATTACCAAGTGTTCCATCAATTCAACTCCTAGTTATACACCTCGAAGAATCAAAATAGAGACTTAAGCAGATATTCATACAGCAATGTTCACCATAGCACTAGTCACAGTAGCCAAAAGATGGAAGCTACCCAAATTTCCATCAACAGATGAATGAATAAACAAAATGTGGCATATACATCCAATGGAATATTATTCAGCAATAAAAATGATTAAAGTTCTGATACATGCTACAATATGGATGAATCTTGAAAACATTATGCTAAGTGAAATAAGCCAAACATAAAAGGACAAATACTGTATGATTCCACTTAGATGAGGTACCTAGAGTCTCATAAAGACAGAAGGTAGATCAGAGTTTACCTGGGACTGGTTGGACGGGAATGGGGTGTTAATGCTTACCGGCCATGGAGTTTCAGTTCAGAGTGATAAAAACATTTTGGAAATAGTAGTAATGGTAGCACAACACTGTGAATGGAATTAATGGCATTGAGTTGTATACTCGAAATGGTTAAAATGGCAAATTTTATGTGATATATAGGTTACCACTCTTAATTAGAAATTAATAAAAGTAACATTACTGAAAACCATTGAATTGTATCTTTAAGTTTGTGAATTGTATGGCATGTGATTTATAGCTCCATAAAGCTGTTAAAAATAAAAATGTAAAACATTCCCCTCAAAGTCATGTTTATTGGTATTGGATGTAACATAGATTGGTCTTTGTTTTATTCTTCTTTTCTTCCTTCCCATTTGTAATAATTTCAGACTATTATAAACACTTCCATGCTTTTATCAACACTAAAACAATGTTGTCAGTTAATAAGTGAATTGCATTAGAACTATAAATATGCTCACTAAATTAAAATTGGAAATTGCCATCAGAAGTATCTTAGTTTTGCACTGACATATGTCTCTTGTCGCACATTCAGAATTCCACTTCGCACGGTATCTGCATATAATGGATCTAAGATAAACTTAATTTATGTGAATGCATGATAAGTCAAGGGAGAAAAACTTATATGATCCATGCAACTTCCTTTCCTCTACTCAAAATTTCTAAGTCAATTCCTTTATCATCATTATTCCTAGAGGTGGTTATATTCTTTAGAACCTCAATTCTTACAACTCACTTATTCATTGGTAGGGAAAAAAAAAATCAACTCGTCCTTAAGAGCTACCAGCATATTGACAAATACAGTAAGTCAAACATTGCATATATATATATATATATATTTTTTTTTTTGGCCTGATGAAGACTCTTCATTACACCATTGAGTTTCAGAACTGGCCAAAAACTTTATAATGAAACAAACATTTTATTTTCCTCATGTAAGGATCCACCATTCTAACTAAAATTGCCTGTATTTGAATATCAAATTGACATAGGTGATGAAGATGGAAAATCATAGTATTGAACTTGAAATAGTAAATATGTAGAGTGACATTAGCAATTTCCTTCATGGAAGAATCTGTGGACGGTGTGTATAATAGTTTACCTTATAAATAAATAGGAAAGACATTAAAATGTAAGTCTAATTATCCAAGGATTTTCAAGAATGGGAGATATATCTTCGATCTGGGAAAAATAAAAGCAATTTGAGACCACTAAAAAACAAAAGTTGCAGTAGGAAGGATTTGCCATTGCTCACCTCCCAATACTCACACTGAAACCCTTTCTTCTTTTATTACAACTCCACATCCTTACTCTTAAATATCTTCCTTCTTTGTAGTTACCCAAATCTTGAAGGTCAGACACCTTCAAATGCTGTTTTTTCATTTTAATGGAAAATTATGTCAGACTTAAAACCCTTTCAGAAGACAAGCAGCTTCAATAATTGAATTAAGAGGGCTGAGAATTATATAAATTTACCTGGCTTCTGCCTGCCAACCGTGGTCTGGGTCATCTGGAGTCCCAGCAGTTTAAGGCCAAAAATAATTGCTTCATATCAAGATCTTTTGTGTTACTTCTGCCTCACATCCTTGTGACTGACGGCCAAGCTGGTCCCTTCAGCTCCTGGTTGCATGCTCGGCCTTTGACCATCTGTCCTGTCTAGCCCTGTGGTTTGGGTTTCCTCCTGCTTCCTGATTTCATGCCTGATTTCAGCCTCTATTAATTTTATGAGCTCTTGGTGTCAGCGGCTGTCTTATCTTTACTTGGTTCCTAATTTCTATTTTGTTTTGGTCATCCCTACTTCCGTGTCCAATTTTTCCTGCTTTGGTATTTTGATACATTTCAAAACTATACTTCACTCCCTACCCAGTCTCAACTCTAAGATCATCCCTGGCTCAGCTCATGAGCTAACCCTGCTGTGTACTGAGATTACTACTCCAAGAATTTAACGTAGACTAGTCTTGAACAAAGTAAAGGCAAAGAGTCAAACACAACTTAATCAAATTAATCAGAGCAACTAATAAGCATTCAATTAGTGCTTAAGGAATTAACAGATATTTGTTGCCTCAGTTCAGATTTTTTCAAGAATAACCCACAAAATAGATGCAAATGGCCTGATTCATCAATAAGCAAAATGTACCCGCAGTAAGGGTGAAACATTTAATCTATTGTATATTTAAGCCAGTGGAGATCAGGAAGCTTAAAAGACACTGAATCCACAGGGAAAATATATTGCCAGCCAAACATAATTAGCCAGATTCGACTGTTAGGCTCACTGATGCTGCAGTTTCTTTGAAAAGGACCATGTGGTTTGGTAGATGACAATAGGCAGTTATGCCTATGGCAGTTTGTTTTTAGAAATCCAATCAGTAAGAGCCTCCTTTTTAGTACATTTTATTTTGGGACTTAGAATTATATTAGTGACAAGCATTAATTTTCACTATATCCTGATTAGGCAAAAAATATATATTATACATACATTATATATTGTATTATACAGTTATCATACATTATATATTTGTTACTCTTGTCATTAAGCCCTTAAAAAAATCATCCTGGAATTGGTCTTCCATTCTCCATTGTGTGTGTGTGTGTGTGTGTGCACGTATACACAGGCAGGTATAGGATCCTTTCGTGTGTGTGTTTGTGTGTGTGTTTTTAGTTTTTGGTTATTTTTTGTTGTTCCTATGATGGACATTTTTTCTTCATCAGTTGACACCAAGTAGTCCAGGGCTGTGTGTCTTCTAATAAGTCTATTAATTCTTAAGTATAAAAGGAAAATAATCATATGGAGCCCAGTTAATTACAGTGAATTATGCACATCTAGTCTGATATGTGATATTACCAAGGGCTTGCTGTTTTTGATTTTCATGAAACACTACCCTAAAGAACTTTTCAGAACACTTGTACTTAACTTTTCTGATGAAAATGTTAAGGACTATGACTCATGTGCTACAGATCTTTATGACAGATATTGTCATGGAAAACAGTCTTCAGGATGTAGTGGTTTGGCACTTTGCAGTGTCAAGGATTTCAAGATGACCTTTCTTTATCACTAGTACAGCTTCATATTACATTGTTCTTTCTAATGTTGGACGCTTTGCACTGAGTAATAGTTTAAGAAATCAACATTCAGACTACTAACTTTTGCCATTTCTTTTACTTGCCTGGGTTTATTTGGATCTAAATACTCAGAGTTCAAATTACATTTGCTTTCATGAATGTGGTTGCCTTGGTGTCCTGCAAAAAAAATTAAAAAACAAACTAACTTTACTTATGGTAATACATTCATGGAAATAAGTGTGCTGGCTAGACAACGTGTCTCAAAATTTTCTAACAAACAATAACCTGAAAACGTACTATGGTAAATGTCAATACTTTTTATTTTTTAATTTTTTTGATGGCCTGTGTGCTTTAAGGAAAACCGAGGGAAGTGGTAACTGTGCCTTTGTCAATCCAGTTTACGGGAACTGGAGCGACCCAGAGAAAACAGAGGTAAGTGGCAAAGGGTGAACTGTATCATTTCACACAAATGCAGACACACACACACACACACACACACACACACACACACACATTGAACCGGTGTTGCTTGAACATGTTTCTACATCATAACTAAAAGAAACGTTTTAGTGGAGTTATTTCAATTGGGGGTAGAAAGGAGTTTCCGTCTCTACAAATATGCCATGAGAATTGTCCATTTCAGGACAGTTTCAGTCTGCTTGTAAGATCAGTTCACTGTTAAATGGCATTGTGGTCACTGTTTATACTCAAAAAGAGCTGACAAATCTGGAAAATATCAGTTTAACCCACAGAGTATTAGTCAGTTACTTATAGTAACTATTAATTGAATGTCTTTCATATTTTATTTTCAAAAACAAAAGAGAAGATAGCATTCTATGTTCTGTTTAAATTTAGGGTGACTAGTGAGGGCCATTACCTGATAACTTAGAAGAGAAAAAAGAAGTGAGAATGTATTACATCTTCCTTGGACCTTTTTGGGGCTATCCCTTATTTGTATAAGCAGGGAGAAAATGGCAAGGAAAACCTTTCTTGTTACTTTTTTAGATTTTTTTAATTTTTAAGTCATTTTTAGGTATAGTTGACAAATACAACTTTTATATGTTTAAAGTATACATTATATTTTACTATAGTATACATTGTGAAGTGATTACTACAACAAAACTATTTAAAATATCTGTCACCTCACATAGTTAACTGTGTGTGTATGTGTGTGTGTGCGCGCTGCAAACATTGAGGATCTCTCTTAGCAAATTTTGAGTATATCACACAGTATTATAGTCACGTCATACATTAGATCCCCAGAATTTATTCATCTTGCACAAAAACTTTGCACTCTTTGATCAATATCTCATTCCTTTCTTTTTATTTTTCCCATTCCTTTCTTAAGTAAGTGTTATGAGACTTCATCTGGATATAAAATAAATTTAGTTATGACACACCACTTCTGAACTCTAAAAGTTTTATTACATCTGATTTTAGAGCTATATAAAATTCACTTCTTATAAAATTAGTATTATATAAAGCTAAAGTTTTAATTATTCTTTTTCTTTATGAAAATAGGTCATAGCTTTTTATCTTGCTCTTGGTTATGAAAATGAGTAGCAAGGTATCAGGTCAGGTGGTTTCTAGTAGTTTAAGAGCCTTGAGTGCTGTGGTTGAAGCCTAACAAAACACTTGACTTTTTTATTTTTGCATTTTAATCAACAATGATATGATACACACTTTTAGTATTGTTTTGCTAGGAATGAAAACAGGAAGTAAACGATTTCCTAAAGCACAGAGAAAATGAATTTAGATGATTCAACAAGTAAGACAGAGTAAAAATGAAAAGGTAGACCTACTTCATGGATAAAAAACACATACATATTTAAGAAAACAAATGTAATATATCTTTTTGACAAACTAGGATGGTATAATATAAATATATTTTCATTTTTACTAGAGAAAGAAAATTTATTATTATTTTTTTGAGACAGAGTTTCACTCTTGTCTCCCAGGTTGGAGTGCAATGGCATGATCTTGACTCACTGCAACCTCCACCTCCTGGGTTCAAGTGATTCCGCTGCCTCAGCCTCCTGAGTACCTGGGATTACAGGTGCCTGTCACCATGCCTGGCTAATTTTTGTATTTTTAGTGAGACAGGGTTTCACCATGTTGGCCAGGCTGATGTCGAACTCCTGACCTTAGGTGATCCACCATCCTTGGCCTCCCAAAGTGCTGGGATTACAGGCATGAGCCACTGTAGCTGGTCAGAAAATTTAGTATTTTTTATCCTCAACTTAGTTTAACTTTTACTGCCTGAAAGATATACCTGAGATAAGGAATTAAAGTGAGATATTTTAAATTTTATATTTTTTTTATTAGTGTCTCATAAACTTGTAGTAAGTAAAAAGTGGCTCGGTAGGTGTTATGGATTATTTACTTTCTACGGAGATGGGTTCTGTTGCATTCAGATCTGTACTTCTCAGCAAGCACAGGAGGGGTCTCCATCAAAGACCCACCTTTCAATCTACTTTCAAGATGGTTTCTACTGTGTGTGAGTGTGGTGGCGTAATGGATGACTGGAGAGCACCTCGGAAGTGATTTATGTTTATTTTCTATTTTGATAAAAGAAAAATTCCTTTTTCGTTTTCTGTTTTCCTTTCATTATGAATGGCTAAAGAAGAAATCCTGGCACATCTCCTGGCCTTTGTGGCTATTTTGATTTCTATATTGTTTCAGAAGCAAATGACTTTGTATTAATCAAACTAGGTCTACTTTCCCTATCATCAGAAAGATAGACTTCTCTAAATCTATCCTTCAAACTTTTTTTTTTTAATTGTTGGAGAAAACTCTCACATTCTGATACAGAAATGGAGAGAATATTCATGGCAACATTCATTGGCAATTCATGCCAATATTCATGGCAATATTCATTGTAAGCAACTGCCATGTACCCATCAGCCAGCTTCAAGGACTATCAACCCATGGTCATTGTTGTTTCACCTCTACTGCCCTCCATTTCCTCACCCTCCAGAAGGTTTTCAAACAAATCTCAGATATCATTTAATTTCAACCGTAAAGATTCCAGTTGTGTTTTTAAATGACAAGGACAAAATATAACGGCAGGATCATACCTAAACATTTAACAAGAATGTCTTGAGGCCATCAAACACTCACTGTTCAACCTACCCCAATTGCCTCATTAAAATGTAAAAGGTTTTCTACGCGGGTTTTGTTGTTGTTGCTATATTTTAAAAATCGGAAATTTTAGAAGGTAGATGCATCCAAATGGGTAGATATGTCTCTTAAATCTCTTTTCATCTCTAGGTTCTATTTTCTCTCTCTTATTTTTTTTTCTTGCACATTATTTGTTGAAGAAGCCAGGCTGCTTGTCCTATAGAATTTCACAAATTTTAGGTTTTCCTGTAAACTATATAATTATACATAATTATATAGTTTACAGGAAACTTAAATGAAATGGCATTTAAACTTACATAAAATGGCTTTGTATACTTAAAGTCATTGGTTTTGTTTTGTTTTGTCTAACCTAACTATATTCAATACAGAAGCCTTAGTGAAACCAGCATCAGAGAAGAAGTAGTCAAAATATTGGTCATCG